CAAGATGTGGCATAAACAAACAAGGGTCCCTGGCAGTGGGGCAGGGGGTGGGGGGGTGGGGGCCCAGAAACGGAGGAGATAATGGGGAGCTGAGATCAAGGAGCTCAAGAATGAAAATGTTTTGGAACTGACTGTGGTAGCAATTGTATAATACTACTTGATGTGATTGAACTATGGAATGTTATGATATCTGTAGGAGCTCCCAATAAAATAACAAAAATTAAAACACAAAAACAAAGTTACTTTTGAACTCTGATACATGTGAGACTTAGTGCTAGAACCTGGTCACGCCCTGTTTCATTTGACCCACACAACCCATTTTATTGAAGAAACTGAGGCTTGGAGAGGTTGAAGCATTCCTTCAAGGCTGCAGTTAGAAGGTGGTATGGCAGGGATTTGAACTTTGCACTATCTGCATCATTGTAAGGCCCTGTTAATTGCATAGCAGCCTCTCAAACTAATTCAGAAGGTTTGAATTCACCAGAAAAAATGCTGAGAAAGGGCTGGCCATGGTTGCCAGATTTAGCCAATAAAAATCCAGGACACCCAATTGAACTTGAATTTCAGATAAGCAGTACCCTTTTTTTGCCTAAGAATGTCATCTGTACTATTTGGGGCGGGCCTAGAGGGCCAGAGAAAAAGAGGTAGAGCATCAAGGGGATGGATTAGCCCAGTGGCTACAACAATGGGCTCAAACCGAACAGCTGTGAGGGTGGCAGGCAGCGTCTGAGTTGGAAACGATTCCATTGGCCCCTAACACCCTAATACACACACTAAGTACCACTCATAGTTTAGCTGGTCTGCAAACTTCACAGGCATTTTGGATTTTATCTGGTGACCCTAGGTGGTCCCATCCCCCACCCCCCCAGGACAGACACTGGGGTCTTCTTCCTGGAACTGATATCAAAGTGAGTTTTGGGTCAATTGAAAATCACTGTACTCTTTGGAGTAGAACTGCACAGGTGCATGGCTTCTTTAAAATGACCTTTATCATATGTACCAAGAATTATTTTATGTTCACAAATTAGTTGCTCATTGTTACTCTGTTATTAATGGGGACAGGTTTTATCTGCACCAATTTTTAGGGCAGCCTTGATTTAAATTACTATCATATCCTAATATTGGCGATCGCTAAATTTCACTTTAGTATAAAAGTAAGCACAAAGACACATTTAGCAAGACTGAAAAAATACAAAGAAATCAATTCACATGAGACCTTTGCTGTTGTCCAAAACCACTCCTCCAGGTACCAACTCAAGGTGATGACTCTTGCAGTGTCGCTTATCGAGTGATTAATAAAGCAAGAATCATTTCCAGGTCGGGGTGGGGTGGTGATGGTGGTCATTAAGCCCTCAGGACTCTGTGAAGCCCGCACAAAAGCAGTAAGGGCAGGAAATGGCAATACTAACAGAAAATGACTGGCTATTGCCTTCTTAGACAGAAACAGCAGGAAGAGTGACTAGACCTCTGTCGATTGGTTCTAAGAGTCAGTGGCTAAGTTCATTGGCAGAGCAGCCACTAGCCAAGCTGGAGTTTACCCTAAATCAAACTGAATGCACAACTCAGGATGAGCAACATGATCATCTTACTTTCACTCTTTACTCTCTATACATGGTAAAGCGATCGTGATTGAAGGATACAGACTCACAGAAATGACTACAGATCATTTAGAAAACTTTTTTAATCAATACAATGCTAAGATGCTTTCAGTGACTGTCTCCCCCTCCACCTCCCATCCCGCAACAGTTTAATAAGATCACCGGATTCCTCAAAATCTGTTTACTTTAGTCATATAAAAATCATTAACAAACTTTGGCTTCCTTGCAAGCATGCAGCCCTTATATTTAAAAAGTGATTAAAAACAGTACTGAAGATAAATTGCTTCTGTAGAGTTTAATCAATGAGAAACATTCAACCAAGGTGATATTTCCTTGGAAAATCCTACAATAACTAGATTTTAGAAACAGTTCCTTATTTGCCAGGAGTAACTTCCATTTATAAATAGCAGCCATGACTTCAGGGCCTACAAGACTGCAGGCTGTCACAGTTTACATGTTAAGAATTCAAATGTTTTTAGATCAGATTTTCTAGCAAGTGTTAAAATAAAATAAACCCAACAAAAAGCAAAGGCAAAACAGAGGAGTTAGTTACCTCATGCTAAAAAATATTAAATTCCATGATTTTACTTTTCAGGCAGGTAACAGACAGACAACCATTGGGTTTAAGACAGTGGGCACAATTGGGGTTTGCTTGAAGACGTGACAGTGACACAGCAGGAGTTTACTCTGTTGAGGCTCTTTTGTGGGTGAAGTGTATCTAGGACAAAGGACAAGCGATCTCGGGTGTCAGTACTGGCTGGACAGTCAAGTTAAGGACCTGTGCCAGGCGTGCTGTGACTGAGGTGGAGCATCCCTGCGCCTGCTCCTACCACTGTGCCGGGTGCTTTCTGAGGCTCAGGCAGCAAGAGCTCACAGACATGTAAGCCAGGGAGGCTGGACCCATTGCACTGCTCTTAACCAATGACTAACAGCCCCGACAGACAGGGAGCAAACGAGTGCATCTTAAGCATGGACACCCTACACTGGTCTTGGGAGATGTACCGCCTCATGCAAGAACTCTTGGAATCTGTCACTCCTCAGACATTTGACGCCTACACAAAATGTGACCAGGACCAGTGGGCTGAGCGTTCCCAGTTCCAGGAATGCAACAGAGAGAGAAAGGCAGTTTGGGCAGTGAGCAGGGTACCTTCCCAGGTCAGCTTGGTACTATGTAGGAGCACGCCTGCCTGAGTTCTGGCTTGAGAAGAGGCCATTCCATGTGCCAGAAATCTGGGTACAAGACCAAATATGAGGTGGGGATCTGCGCCAGAGAAAGTGATCGCTCATGTTATCCACCCAGAGGGTTTCAGAGGGCAGCGAACAAACAGGCAACACTGGAAGCCAGAGTTGGTCGTGGGCAGTAGCAATATGCGTGCAAGTCAACTCCACACTCAGTGCAGGTCACAACTCAAGGGCTAGACCAGCTCCTTCCACTTCGGGATACAAGGCCTTTTCTTTCCTCCTCACCCCAAACCTCCCAGTGTGGCTCAAATTTTCCCCAGTCGTCAGGACAAATAGACATTTTAGACTGATTCTGATGCAAACATCCCAGCCCAGGGACTTGGGGCATGAACCCGGACAGGTAGTCCCATTACTGTCTCCAGCGATGCAGCACTCATTGCGACCCTGTGGGGCTTCCTAGAGCCCTGGGCTAAACATCAGATGCTACTTAGGGAGAGGGCTCCGTTTGATCGCTCTGTCAGGGAAGTCGGTCTAACGCCCAGAACAAGCCCTAGGCTTAAGACTAGGAAGTCTCTTCCAAACATGGTATCGGGGCTCTTCAGGGTAGAATCCCTATGACAACTAGGAGACACTAGAGCTCGAGGCACCGGCACAATGGGCCAAGCAGGTAGGGTCACCAGATAAAGCCTTTCCCACCAGCCGCTGTGCAGACACTGAGCGTTTGGGCCGTCTTCTTCATGCCGACTGGCACCAGCAAACAGACTGAGAGGGAAGACAAGTCACGGAGCGGGTGAGTCGCTTCACGAGGAATTGTGTGGTGGTGCCCCAACACTGACTCTGGAGACTGAGCCAGAAACCAGCATCGCCTGAAAGCCCTGGGGGGAGAAGGGTAGTGTATAGAAAACCTTGCAAAACCTAGCACCAGTTCTTCCTTACCAGGGCTCGAGGCAGCTCGGCCCTAAGATAACTGGACCGTGGATGGGACGGACACAGATGGCAGGCCGGCCCAACGTTCTCTGCTGCCGTTGCTCTGCAGCTCTCCTGGCAGACGTACACGCACGTGTTTGCTCGGTGGCTGCGCCTCACCCACAAACACCTTCCACTGTGGAGGTGGGGGGTGAGAACACTGGACCACGTTTTCCCAAAGAGGGAAAATCAAGTCACCGGGGGGCACAGCCTACAGTTCCTCCGCTCCTGAAAGAGAGCCTCCCTAAGGAAACCAGCTTCTAAGGGTCACCATGAGTGCGTGGAGCGCCAAGGTCACATCTACGTCGACAAATCTCACCAGGAGTTAACTAACCTGCTCAGCGGAATTAAGCCCCAGGTCCTCAACTGCCCACCCTCCCCTTACCAGGGAGGGGAGCAGAGCTCAGTCAGCTGGTCCCTTTCTTTTTTTCCACCACTGTCCCTTGAAGAGAGTCAAAGAAGGTAGTGTGGGAGGGAGGGGGGTCTTCTGGTTCATTGTTCAAAAATAAAGATGTCTTCAAGCGTCATCTGAGGTTGTCTAAAAACATGTCAGTTGCCCTCAGTGGCTGCCTCCACAGGCTCCTCTTCTAAGCCAAGATTCAGCTTGTCAGCCAGTCCCTCGAACTGCTTGCCCAGGCTGCCTGCAGAGTCTACAAACATGTTCGGGATGTCTTTGCCAAAGTAAATCTTGCTGTTGGAAGCAATCGCCTTGTACTTCATCAGCTGCAGATACTCCGGGGTCAGCTTCAGCTGTGGCACATAAATAAATACATACATAAAGAGAACTCACGGGGAGCCAGCAGCAAGCAAACTTCGGGCGGCACCCTTCCGACGCTACAGGGAGGGTCTCTGTGAGAGCGCAGAGCCGCTCTCCTCCTAGTCTCATGGGGACATCAGAGCGGAGCTGCCGCGTCGCTGAGAGGGTGGATTCAGCTGTGCGAGCTTTCGGTTTCTGTGTTCTCCACAAAAATGGAACTGCTGTCAAGGTGCTGCTTGGGTAAAGGGAGGTGGTACCTAGGCCAACAGTCCGACATCCATCAGCCTGGCCACGAGGGGCTCTGGGTGGGCGTGGTCATTCAACCACGGGCACTTTTTTTTAAACTCCACCCGCTGGGCACCCTTAACAATATTATCTGGGCCTTCGAACTGGTTCAGTCACGGCCAAACTAGAACAGCCCTGACCATGTAAAACTTGGGTGGTCCAGAACACGCCACAGTGGGAAAAGTGACGGGGCAAAGCCCTGGTCTGGGAGCCCCGGAGGAGGAGGAGTGAGCCTGCTGGGGGCCACGGGTGTGCTGACGGGGCTGTGGGGGGAAACGCACTCCGGTGGCCAGGTTGGCCGCCAACTTTGCGTTGAGCACGGTTCTGAGTGGTCCGGGGAAGAGGCTGCTGTGCAGCCAGCACGCTGCTGCCCTTCTTTCCTAGGGGGTCCCACTGCGAGCGGGGCTGCAGACCCTGGTTTCTCTCCTCCCAGTTAGCATTCTGGTTCACCCACATTATAAAAACCTGGGTCCATTCCAGCGTGACTTCTGTGGTCATGACTGAACAACGCTGAATTACCTGAAGTCTTGCTATAAACCCCAACCCAAACACCCCTTCTCTTCAGCAGGCAGGCCTGAGCCTTTACCTTGTTGGCTTCCGCTATTTTCATCGCAGTGTAGCACTCGGCATCGGCCTTGGCCTTCTCCCGGGCCAGAAAGGCGGCATCTGGGGGGACAAAGAAAGCAAGGGAGCCCGGGAAGTGCTTTGCAGGGAGTGTGTGTGTGTGGGGCGGGGCATGCTAGGTCTCCAAATAGCCTTTGTGGCCTTGAGGAGCCCCCACCCCAGGATTTGGGGTTTCCTCATCAATGGAACTGAGGGAGGGGTGGGGGCGGTAAACAATAATAAAAACCCTACCCTCGCTCCCCCTTCTACAAACTGTAAGGATCAACCAAGCCTAAAATGGGTTTGCGGAGCACCTTCCCCCACTGGGGACTAGTTATGAGCAAGTCTGTGGCTGTGCCCCCACACCTAAACTTTGACAACAAAACAAAAATGAAACAAACCAAAGCAAAGCACCCCTCTTGTCCCACAAGCCTGCTGCTTTTACCGGAGCTTTGGGCAGCAAATGGTAGGACAAGGCTGTCTCACATCTCCGGTTCCCGGCTCCCCACAGCGTCGTCCTCCATGTTCCGGCTCATGTTACACAGCCAAAGTGAGAGAGACCCCCCAAACCAAAACGGCCAACTCCCTGCCGTGGGTCAGGCTGACTTGCCTCCGGGGGTCCCCAGACTGCACAGCTTTACCGAGTGGAAAGCTCCATCTTCTTCCTCCCGTGGATCGGCACATGGTTCTGTTGCTGACCTTGTATTAGCAGCCCCTAGCTACTATGCCACCAGGCCCCTGCAGGGAGGCCCAAAGAGGGCTCTAATTATGGCCAGGGGCCACCGATAAGCAGACACAAACGGGCAGTCCCCCTCCAACGGCTTCCCTTTTATTTTCACTAATGCAAAGTTCCCAACAAACAGTGGGACCCTGGTGTAATTCGGATAAGGAACTACACGCTGTGGGCCAGACCAAGACCCGTCTGCCGGGAAGTCTACCTCTCCCTCCTCCGTGGAAGCCATCTGCTCTGAAACGAGCTTTCTGACCAGCGAGACATTTTTGATATTTCCTTCTTTGCTTTGGGAATGCGGCCAGTCTCACTCACGTGAGTAACATTTGTAGCAACACGCCTGGGAAGAAAGAGCAATCCGTGGGTGGGTTCTCACGGAGGGTCCCTCCCCATGACCCTGGGATGGAGGGGGAGGAAGTGTGGGGCCAACAGTATGGCTGGGAAGTTGGCTGTCACGCAGCTGACTCAACTGGCCTCACCACCTGGTGACTCGGATTTGCAGGAAACAGAAACGTGCCGAAGGCTCAGGGCTCTCCAATGAGGAGCTGATGACTTTTGAAACCCTAATCAGCTCCCCACAGGCCCCTAATGACTATACACTCACTCCTCACTTATCAAGAGTGGGGGCTGTACCTCATCTCTACACGGTTCACCCCTCTGCCCACCATCACTCACCACCTGTTGGGCCTGCCTTCCCCACCACTCCTTGCCCCCCACAGTGGAAGCCACAGGGGTTGAGTAGTGGTGTGTGGGTGGTTGCCTGCCACCCACCCCACCCTGGGTGGGACCCTGTTCATCATCCTCCCACCCACCCTACTTGTCCTTTGTCCCATCTTATGCAGTACCCTCTCTTTGCCCCTTTTCACCCCACCAACTTCCCCTGCACCTCAGACCCTTGCCAGGCCTCTCCTTGGCTCCCGTGACATGGTATCACCCCCAGTGGTTAGACACAGACATTGTGGATAAGCAGGAGAGGGCAGCCTATGGCCCATCACCCACCATTCCTTGTGTGCCTGGATGGTCTGGGGGCTGCTGCTGGCCTGGTTGCCACATGGGGGTGTGGTACATGGAGGCTGCCCTGAGCCTGCTGTGAACCATCGGAGGCGCCTGGTGTTTTTTTCCTAAGTTGTCACACATGTGAAATGTGGGGTAAGGAGACAATCCACAGCTAGCAAGAGGTATAACGGAACCGGGCCCCTTGGAGCTTGGGTCCTGTGCTGTCCTGGAGTTTACTGGCATGGGAACCATGTGAAGGGAGAGGTGGGTGGTGAGAAGGAGGGGTGGGCTACTGAAGAAGCATGGTATTCAGAAAAGCAGACACTGCTTCCCAGGCTAGGCATCTACCTGGACTAGGAGAGAAGACGAAGACGTAAAAAATATGACGTCTGATGGGGCGGGGTAAGGCAAGAGGAGGAGAGGGCTGCTGCTGTGGCCCAGCTCCTCAGTTTACTTCCAGGGCACTGGGGCCAAGGCCAGACTGCGCACCCAGGCAGCAGGGCCCAGCGGCGCCCCTCCTCTCTTGCACAGAACGGCTAGCACACAGCTAGCATTTGTGGAATGAAATGGAAGCGCTCTCAAGTGGAACACCGCTGCTAGGCTGGCCCAGACTTTCTCAGAATGCAAGTCTACACAGAGGGGACAAGTGATGTCCCCAACGAAACCCTAACATTCTAGAACCCACTAAGGGGCCGCAGACCCGATGCGCCCATCATTCACCACAAAGCGGGGTGGGTGGAAACGGACATTCAGTCCACTTCTGCTCACCTTCAATTTCTGAAATCTTCTTTTCCGTCTCCTTCTCCATCACCTTCTGCCCATAGGTGATTTCTGCTACTTGAGCCACTTTTTCTGCCTCTGTATAAAGGAGGTGGAGAAAAGACGTAGAGCCCGGGCACCTTGAGTTTGACATCATTTCACCTTTCCCCTGGTCTGAGTACCTGATGCAACAGTAGTGGGTAAGCTCAGACGGACAGCTGCTGTCCTCAGAGGGGACGGCAGCCTGGACAGCACACATGGGCAGACAGGGAAGGCACCAGGAGCACAGAGACCGGGTGCGACTCAGGGAGGCGCGGCCTTCAGCTTGCCCTGCCTCTCTGCGAAGCCACAAGGCAGGGATTTCTCCTAACGACGATTATAAGGAATAAAGTTTTCTCTAAGAAGCTTCTGGGACTCACATGCAGTGCTGGCGGGATCCTGGGCTGTACAAGGGTTTTCATGAAACTACTCACATAGAAGCTGATAGCAGCGCTGGGGAGAAAGGCCTGGCGACCTGCTTCTATAAGCACTGTGAGCGCTACAGCGAAGACAACCTACCTGGGTCATCAAGGATCTGAGTCGACTTGGGGGTAATAGGTTTGGGATTACCAAGTTTGGGCCTGGCTACTTCATTTGAGGAAGCATTAAGGCTCCGTGTTGAAAGGCAGGGCAGTGTAGTGGTGGAGAACACAGGTTCTTGAGGGAGCTCTTCTGGGTTTGAGCCCACCCTGGCCCCATCTGCTTGCCATCTGACCACAGACAAGTTACCTAACCTCTGGATGTGGTGCGCTGATGCCCTCTGACGCGAAACGAGGCTGATATTTTAACTGCCTCACGTGGTGGCGGAGTTGACTGACTTCATAGCTTGAGTGCTAAGAAAGACTCATAGTCGGGGCTCCGTAAGTGTTAACCATTATTATAAAGGAAGAATCGACAGAACCATTCATTTGCCGCTATGTGACAACTCAAAACTCCGTATTCCTGGCTATGCCCCGACAAGGTCAGCTTGCTTCTTGGAGTGTAGGCAGGCTGGGGAGGACCGAGTGGCTGGGCCTGGCCTTCCCTGCATCTCCCTAAACTAAGGTGGCCAGATTTAAAGTGGGACACATTGACTTGGGGGTAAGGGGGTTCTTCATTAAAAATTTGGTCTATATGGACCAAATAGACCGTTCCCTAGCTTGTGCATTCTTTCCAAAAATCGGGACTGTCTCGCCAAAAGCGGGACGTCTGGTCATCTTATCCTAACCCCACCCCAGCCCTGCTGCCTGGGAAGAGGAACCATAGAACCACATTCAGACCAATGAGGGCCTTCTTCCGCTCTGTCTCGGCTTCCTTCTCCACCACCTTCTGCTTCTGGGCTGCAATGAGCAGCTTTGTCTTCTCGCTTTCCCTGAAGGGAAAAAGGGTGCAGCTGCGAGACCGCCAGGCAAACACTCCAACAGGACCCTCACGGTTTCCTGGAGAAATCAAACCCAGCTGCTGAGGAGAGGCAAGTGGTCATGCCCGCCTCTCTCCCGAAAGGCTGCTCAACGTCCCAGGCAAAGGCTGATCTGTTGCAGGCCTTCACATGGCTTTTCTCTGCCCTGGAATAACCCATGCGTGGGAAATAAAGCATAATTACTTTAGTAAAATAGACCTGCCCGTCCACTTATCCTCTTTTTGTGCCTATCTCCTCCTCTGGCATGAGCCATTAAACACAAACAAGGCCCTCTGGCCCTTTTCAAAGCATCTCTGCTCTCCAGCAGCTTCTCCTGTGGCCCTCCATCACAACTAGGGGCCCCAGGCCGCTGGCCTGGTGTGCCCACTACATTTTAGCATGCAATAGGCTGTAGCAAATACTCCAGAAAGGGGATGAGAGCCTGGCATAGCTGGGGTGGCCTCTGGGAAGGGGTGGGGATCTGGGCGGGAGGGCAAACTCACATCAGCTCGTAGTTTCTGCGGATGGCCTCCGGTATGTTGGGCTTTGTCACCCGCACGGCCTGGGGAAGGGTACAGAGAACATCGGTGGGAAGGTGAGGGGGTGAGGGGACTCAAGCGGCTCCCGCGCGCTGGTCGGTGATCTGCAGGAGAGGGCACCTTGTGCCAGCGGGATTCGGAGTCATCAGGGAACTCGCCCCGGTAGCAATGCTTACTTGGATGACAAGCCCAGGAGCCATGGAGGTTAGGTCCTGCTGCAAAGCTAGTTTGAGATTTTCATCAATCTGATCTGGAATTAGGGAGGACACAGAAAAAGGAGCAGTTACACTTTCTGGGGGTAGAGGGCAGGCTAGAGCGGCAGCTTAGGGAGGTGCGGGGACAGGCCACAGGCCTCTCCAAAGTAGAGTGCTGGCCGCAGCCCGGGAAGCTGGCCACCCTGGCAGACCTTTGGAGGGGCAGGCCCTGCGTTCCTCTATGTAAGCTTGGTGTGGGAAGACCCTTTTCCTATAGCCTCAGGTTAAACCACCCTTGTTACTTTTTAAAAAGCAGTAGCAACTCTGCCCTGTAGCGGCACTGAGCTTTACAATAATAATAAATAATAATAATAATAATGACAGCAAACAACAGTTCTCGCGCACTTCCAGAGTGGGGCCGCATCTAGATGACAGCAGCTACAGAAAGGGAAGCTGACAGTTTTCAGGGAAGGAGGAAGGTGGAATAGCTATGCTAGGTATTTTGAAAAGAGCTGAGCACATTAAATCTAGTAATTTTAGAAGCTTCTAAAAGAAAAACACTCTGACATCGAAAGCCCCAAGGAAGATTGTTTCCATTAGGAACTCCATCAAACAACACAAGGAGAAAATGAAAATCTACAGCTTGGAAGCAAGCCCCACTCTGTCGCCGTGTTATCTGCTTTGGTGCTGATTCCACTGTCTGGGATTCACATGTGGGCGTTGCAGAGACAAGTGGAGAGGCAACCTAGCTGGTGGCCCATTCCACTCTGGCTGTGACCCAAAACACAGAACCCGGGCTGCCTTCTCTGGCCAGTCCTTCTCAGGGATTTAGCGCCCCTGTCCTGTCCCCTGGGGCCAAAACACCCTCAGTCACATCCTGGCAAGGCGCTGAGGAAGGCACCAGGCAACCTATGCCCAAATGAGCGCCTCTGAGGGATGGCAAATCTAACTCTTTCCTTACTAGATGCCTACACAGAGGACCGCCGAGGCCGAGTGATGAGCTCAGTCCCCAGAGCTAAATACTGAACTTCTTTAATGACTGTGGTGTGTTAGGATTTTAAAACCGAATTTCCCCCAACTGTCATATTAGTAAGCCAAGCATTTTAATGTTTCTACTGACTGGATTCTGATGACTTCTGTATCTTAAATATAAAGCAAATGGCTGCTTAATCAGCTAAGCTCATTAGAAATGTCTGTAAGTTCTCCTTCTACTTATTATAAGAAATGCTCCCACTTGGGTCCTTTTAATGAAGATTCCTAGGGAAAATTCCTGCACAGCCCTACTAGTAAGAACCATTGTTATTTGGACGGTGCCTGGCTGCCACTGCGGCATGCTTTCTATAGAAGATTCCTGATCAAAGGGGGAGGAAATGCAGGCCATCATTTCACATTCTCATGGAATCCAGCCTTTCTGGAGCCACGGAGGTGACTGAACTGCTGAGACCACTGCCCTAAGGTAACCTTTGAACCTTACACCACGAGTGTTCTCTGAAGTCCTCCTGCTGTCATTAAGTGCATGGGGTCGGTCCTGACTCACAGCAGCCCGGGGCAGTAGGACAGAACACCCCCGGCCCTGCGCCAGCCTCCAGATGGCTGCAGCCACTGTGTCTCAGAGAGCCTTCCTCCTTTGTCTTTTTGCTGCTCAAACAATAGTTTAGAATGTCGGCCTTGAGCATTATGCTCTTTTAAGCTCTAGCTATAGGGGATCAGAACCCTGGTGGCATAGTGGTTCCATGTTAGGCTGCTAACTACAATGTCAGCAGTTCGAAACCACCAGTCACTTACTGGGAGAAAGACAGGGCTTTCTACTCCCCAAAGAGATAGAGCCAGGGGCAGTTCTACTCTGTCTTGTACACTTGCTATGAGGTAGCATCATCAACTCGATGGCAGTGAGTTTTACATGGGATCAAACTGACAGTAGCAAAGGGTGTCACCAGGGTCGCTGAACTGTACACGGAGAAATCTGATGCGTGCTTTTGCTGCACATATTTTCAACCACAATTGAAAAACAGGAAAACAGTTGTAATTTTGGTTGAGAACTTGATTTCCTTTTAACGTTGGCTACTATAAAACTCCTAACAGCAAGTTTAAACAGAACAATTTAGAACAAAAGCAGCGTGTCAGCTAACTGACATGTTTCCTTCCAGTGCTGCAGTCAGGCTGTGTTTATTTTATAAAAGGGTGGTGGTGGTGGTGTTGCACAAAGCCTGTGGATCCTTTTTGTTCTAAGAGCTCTACTTCTCATTTGAAATTTTTATTTATTTATTTTATTTTTTAAAGATGCTCCTACTCATCTTTACTGAGCAGCAAGTCCTTGTCCCAGGGCTGGAATGAGCAGTGAGCCACACTGCTCTCACCACCCATGCATGAGCCCTTCTTTCCGCAGGGGGAGGTGAGAAGAATACAGCAGCAAGCACCGGGAGACAGAGGCGCTAGCCCCAGCCCTGCCACCAACTCGCTACCATGACTCACGAAAACCACTCTCTCTTCTGGCCTTGGTCCCCTAGCCGAGGAGGTGGGGCTGGAGACCCTCTAAGGTTCTCCTAGAACGAAGCTTCATTACAGAAGGATATGTTCAGAACAGACAGTGGGGACACATTTCCACTCCAGTCCTCGACTTGGACCACTCTCCTCCGGTGCCCAAAGTTTGACCGAAGAGCCGACCGCTCTAATGCATCTTCTGCTCTGGGCATGAGCATCCCCTAGGCATTCGCCTTGTGCCCTGCCGGAGCACAGGGTCCTTTCGTACGTAACCATCCTGCAATATGCCTCCTGCCCAGCAGCTCAGAAGTCGGGAAAGCGGTGACACAGAGCGTGGGGCGTCAGAAAGGACTTTCTCACCAAACAGCTCAATGTAGACCTCTTGGAGGGTGTGCACACTGCAGAACTGGTTGAGCTCGTGGTGGATCTTGTTGAAGATGAGGGCCTTGTCATAGTCGGCAGTGTAGTTCTTCACTATGTCATACACTGGGAGGAAGGAGAGACGTGGGAATCAGAAAAGCCACACAGGACGATTCCCCTTTCCGGGGACTGTCGGGAGAGGGTAAACTGGAAAACGGTACCTGCGTTCGGGACTAGGAAGTTTACCACTTCGATTCTGTCAAAGTAGATCATCACACCACCACTAAGGGAGAGAGAATGGACAAGCGAATCATGAAAGGCGGTGGAATGAAGAGCCTGGCACCAGATGCTTGCCTTGGCAGCAGAGCTCAGAGGAGGCTAGCTGGCAACGCCAATTTCCAAAGTGAAAGCTCTTCAGAGCTCAAAAGAACACGAGCCCGTGAGAAATCACACCTCTTGGAAACATCTCACAGAGGCAAAGGGAGACCCTGGAATGGCAGTCAGAAGTGAGTTGGTATTGTTTTGCATAAACAATGCCTTTTCATGCAGGCAATCAATTGTGGGGAAAGAAAACTGGAAGGCAGGCGGGTGGGTGGTTCCTAGCACCTCAAAACTGTGGACTTTCATGTCTAATTTCCCACTAAGTTTTCAATACTACCTTCCACCCAAGTTTTCATCATATAGAAAAAGGTCAAAGTTACATATATAAAAGTCAGGACACTATATTCAACAATTATTGACATTTTGCCCGACTTGTGGTCTACCTTTTCTTTGCTGAACTTATCAAAATAAGTGGTAGTTCTCCTATTATACACCATGCTGCTTTAGCAGACGTCACTTACTGATGACAGTCTCCTGCATACCCAGACCATTCTCAAATGGAGAACATTAACATGTTATTAGCATCATCTAATATGCAACCATACGTAAACTCCCCCAGCTGTTCCCACTTCTCTTAGAGCTATTGGTTTAGAACCCAACCCAACCCAACCCAGGGACATCAAGTCAGTTCCCTACTCCGAGCAACCCTGTGTGGGGTTTCCCAGCCTGTCAATCATCCTGGGAGCAGATAGTCTCATCTCGCTCCCGAGGAGGGGCTGGGTAGCAGCCCAGTGCTTCTCCTCCAAGCGCCACCTTTGAACCGGGTTCGTCACTGTTGCTAAGTCTCTTCATCCACAAAATTCTTTCTAATGCAAATCTGGCATAGCAAGTCTAGTAATGTGAGAAGTTCTGAAAAGAAAAACAGGCTCCGACATATCATAAAATGTCTTTGTGAAGAGCTCAGGCCAGTTATTGTGTGGGATGTCCCAGTTCTGTATTTGCTCCAGTGTTTCCTCCGGGTGTTATTTACGTTATTTTATTTCAGTTTAAACCCTTTTTATCTTTCACCTGCACGACTGCAGTCTGGATTTCCTGCCCTACAGCTCTCCCTCTGCCTTCAAGACAGTCTCTCTAGTTAGTCATGCTACAACTACTTTTCTAAAGCATTGTTATGTCATGTCATTTATCTGTTTCAAACCTTTAATGGATCTGCACTTCCCAGAGTGGTAAGTCCACATTTTTATGATGGTGTCCAAGGCCCTCCTGCTATTTTCTCTACTGTACTCCACCACTTAGTTGAGTGAGGATACAGGGAACTAGAGAGCAGAGAATTTGATAAGACCAGCAAGAAGCATTGCTTCCCTTCCTCAGGGTCTCTCAGTGCAGCCAGTCAAATGTTCCCTCTGATGTATTGGACTTAACAGCTTTAATCTTGGTACCTTACCTAGTCCCACAAGGTACATTCTTCACCTCATCTGTCTGGAGGGTGGTCTGGAAAGAGAGGAGGCACACAGCACTATAGAGCAGGCAGCAAGGAGCAATCACATTCTCCTCCAGAACTCCCAGATGGCCTTGTCGTTCAACACCTTGGGGGGCTGGGCTTTCCTTGTGTTCACACGGGAACTCTACCTGCTTCCATGTCTGTGAACCACTAAGAGCTGAGCCCTTACTGGGAAAAACAAACAGACCCTCTACTAGGATTCCTAAGACCTGTGTTTACTTTCCCTCTCCCTTGTTTTGCCCCTCAGTGCCCCTTCTCTGTATTGTTGGTGAGGCTCCTGTGAGACAACCAACGGCACTGAAAGCACTTTGCAGATGGTTGTTGTTGCTGGGAGCCCTGGGGTCAATTCTGACTCCTAGCAAGCCCAGCCCCGCCTCCCCGGGACAGGACAGAGTGCGCATGAGATGGGGCCGGTGTCATCTTTACAGTAGCAGATTGCGGGGCCTTTCTCCATAGACCATTGGCTGGGCTAGGCCTGTCAACCTTTTGGTTAACAGCTGAGCAGTTAACCTTTGGGCCACCCATGCTCCCATTTGAAGACCATGAAGTACAGTAAATGGCAAGAGAAACATACAAAGAAAATATGAATGATCTCAGGATTCTTTTCCTGGGTCAGTTTCAAAGGCATCCTCTAACTCTTCTTGTTCCTCTGGTGAAACACTCAGGAATTACTTCAAAGACAGCTACTCGCACTTAGTGAGCCTTCAGATCTGTCCGAATGAAGTCTACCTCTATTTAAATGTCATTTTCCTCAGCAAGTCCAACTCCCTCAAACCAGCAAATCTACCAGGGTAGATTTCTATTGATCGTGGGAGCCTAGGGTTCCAAATGCCTCCTTCCTTCTGCCCCTTCTCCCCACAGTCTCCCTCCCTACCCATTCAGAACACATTCTTCTCTGGCTTTGTGGTGAAGCGATGATATAATTCCCAGCTGGCCAAGGCAATGGCCCCCTTCTGTTATTTAACAAAAGTAAAGTTCCAAAGTAAATGGAACCTCCTTATTTAAAAATGAATAACAATGCAAACAACAACAACAACAACAACAACAACAACAAATCTACCTTGGAGTCCCTCCTGGAATTTTACTCCATGGCTAATCATGCATTAGTTAGCACCGAGAGTCTGCAGTCAGCCAAGCCAAGAAAATATACCTGCACAGACTTATATGAGGTGATGAAAGGGAGCATGAGATGGAAGCCAGGGCCACTGGTGGAGGTCAGCAGGGCACCGCCTCTGCAGAGGAGAGACACAGGCTGTTAGCAAGGAGGCGCACTTGGCTGCTTAAACAATCAACACCATTGGACCAAACATCTTCAGCCCCATAAGCATTTAATATACAGTGGCATGTGGCAGAACGGTATATACAGGTCCCTTATCTGTTTCTCATTGCTACCCTAATATTCTAGGGAGCCTGATTGTACAACATAAAACCATCATTCGTGCTTTTGCAAGGATTAACTAGGCATCCAGGCGAAATGGAACGCAGACAGAAGAACCACAGGCTATACTCAGCCAAGGAGAGGAAGTCTGGTTTACTTTGTCATACCCCCTGAGCTTTGGGTAATTCAGTAGGGCAATTAAGTGCAGTAATGTCATTATCAATGAACTAATGTTGGAATCTAGTGGCATGAGAAGCCAAAGAATAATTGTACTACCCTCTATAAGTCATTAATTTTTTTTAAAAGGGGACTGCTGGGTTACCTTTCTAAAAAAGTTGTACTTAAATGAAGAATGAAATTAAAGCTTTTTGTGTGTGGCTTATGTCAGCAGATGGAGATGGGGGAAATACTGGCAATACAGAAGTAAACAATGCAGGATACATATAAGACGGAGTTCATAAGAACTTCAAAGTGAAAAAACACGGTTCTGAAGAATACTAAAAGGAAAGTAACCCCTGGTGCTTTGCTTTCACATATGAAGCCCAAGAGAGTTTTTAAAAGAGCAATGAAACCAATGGAAAGAAGGGACTCTTTCAAGAACCACTATCCGGGGACGGGACTTGACGGTATCAGTCATCCTGCAGATCTTCTCAATCCTCCAGAAATGTTCATTTTAAAGAGCAGTCTCCAAGTGCGTTGAGCCTCAAAGTAACTGCTCTTTAAATCAGCTGAGCAGGCTATCGTCTCAGTTGGCCTTCAAGAACTGGGAGTCAGCTGGTCTGGGTGTGAGTAACCTCAGAGCGGGGAGTCAAGGTTTGGTGGGGCGTGGGGCGTTTGGGAAGAAGCAGGATTTCAGGATGGTCTGCTTTAGGCTTTGGCTTCAAACTTATATACACATTTATCACTCACCATGCATGGCACCATCGGAGAGTATTAGGGAAAGTTTTACATTTATATATATAAATATATTTATACATCTGGTGAGTTCTCTAGATGCTTAATATTTATTATTTATAAACTTTATACTTAAACATATTTATATATCTTTTATAGCATATATATATATTTATATATCTTTTATAGCATATATTTTTGGGGTATATATATATATATATATATATTGCCATTCAGTTGGTGCTGACTCATTAGGAACCCGTAAGACAAGGTGGAACTGCCCCCCTGTGAGTTTCTGAGACTTTAGCTTTTTACAGGAGTATAAAGTCCTGTCCCATCTTTCTCCTGCAGAGTGGCTGGTGGTTTCGAACTGCTGACCTTATGGTAAGTGCTGACCAACAAGTAAGTGGCCTGACGTAAGCCTTGAAAGTGGTTGGTACCCAGCCCACTGGAGTAAGGGTGAAAGTCTAGAGCTACATCCTTCTTCACCCCTGTGGTCGGCCACCATTCTCAACCCCGCTGTTGACCAACTATGCCACCAGGGTTCCTATATACATAGACACATGTATATATATACGAGGGGGTGCCCCCCCAAACTGGTTGCGCTGGTGGGAGTGGAGCTTTCGTAATCTGCATTCTTCCCGCTAGAGAAGCATGGAGCAACTTGCTCTGAGTTAGTGCACCCAGTGGTGTCACCTGGGAAGGTTCTCTCTGGTCATGGTGAATTTTTTTGTAAAAGCAGTTTCGCTTGAACTTTGTTTTTTTGTGATGGCCGATTTGAGAGAACAGTGTGCAGTTACAAAATTTCTGCTCTGGAGAAATGCCCCAGAAACTGTTGTGATGTTGAACACAGCTTACAAGGGCAGTGCTATGGGAAAAACTCAAGTGTCTGAATGGTTTTCTTGCTTCAAAAAAGGTGAAATGTCAACTGATGACAAATCTTGTTCTGAGCGTCCGTCAACTTCCCAAATGGATGAAGATGTTGAATTGTAGTGCATTTAGAGTTTGTTCCACCAGGTCAGACTTAATCAAGCTTTCCATTTAGAGGTTCTGAAAAGATTGCGTAACAGTGTATGACAAAAAAGGCCTGATTTCTGGCAGACAGGGTACTGGTTTTGCCACCACGACAATGCACCTGTTCACACAGCCATCCCAGTGTGCCAGTTTTCGGTTTTGGCAAAAAACAGGATGCCTCTCTTGCCCCAAGTGCTTTACTCACCTGACCTTGCTCGGTGTGACTTGTTTGTTTCTGAGAAAGCAGAGAGACATGAAAGGACAGCAATTTGACGGCGAAGAAGAGGTGATGAAAAAAATGAGGGGTTGCCAGGCATCCAAACAGATGAGTTTGAAAAATGTTTCCAAGAATGGAATTGTAGATTTGACAAATGTATTAAGTGTAATGGAGAGTACTTTGCGGGTGAAAAGGTTGTTTCGTTAAAAAAAAAAAAAAAGCATAGCTTTTGGGGGGGATTCAGTTTTTTGGGGGGTACCCCCTTGTATATTTCCCTCTCCTAGTCACTGGCAAAAAAACTTCAATCAGCAAACCTTTCTTCAACAAAATACAAACACAGATATTCAGCAGAATTTGCCAGACAGTGACTAGGAAAGACAGCCATTTAATAGGAAGGGCAACCATCGACCTGCCTGTCTTACCTGTAGTATACCCCAATGTGCCCCTCTTCTATCTTGTGCACGGCCGAGAAGAGAGAGGAGCAGAAGAAACCGGCGGCCAAAGCCACAACTGCTCCCAATTGAGCCATCAGTGAACGTTTCTCCTAGGGAAGAGGAGGGAACCTATGTGTGGTCTGAGATTGAAAGTGGTTCATCCCCAGCCTTGTGGTCTGCCACCATTCCCATTCCTTAACCAGAGAATTACATTCCACATCTCCCTGAAGAGGCACTGCCTCTAGCATGTGTCCTGCACGGGCGAACCAGTGCCGAGTGGGTAGCGCTCAGAAAGAGCCTGCTCTTCCGGTGAACACCAACGTGCTGTAAATGGAGCCGCCCAGGCTAGGATAGGGGAGAGAGGCAGCTGCGCGATATTGGGCCAAATTACAGAGGATGTCAAGTGACAGGCAGTTGTGGCTATGTAATTCTGGTCGTAGCCTCCCAATCCTAACTGCCTGCCATTTCAAAGACAACCATTATTTACTCCTTCTGATGCTGGAGTGGCAGAGACAGCAGACCAGCAGAGTGGCAAGGTAGGATTCTCGGGCCTTTCTTCCACCTTCCCATTGTTTCGGCCTTAATCGGGATAAGGCTCCCAACGAGCCTGGAGCCACACTCCCTCCCATAGATACTCGACTGGCACTCTGCACCTGACAGGTCCCCAAACTCCTGGATCAAGAAGAAACAGGGGTGGGGGGGGGGGGGGTGGATTCTCTTGTTTAATTGACTCTGGGCTCCTGGATCCAACTAGGTCGTGAAAGAGTTAACATCTAGAAGCACGTTTCCGGAACAATGCATGATCTGGAAAGTCTATGGGCACGGACAGCAAAGTTCCCTGGCAGGTGAGCCTGAGGCCACACGTGCAGGATGCTGCTTCGGCCTCCCCCGTCTGACACAACGCAGCGGCAGTTTGCGAGGCGCTGGTGTTACCGTAGTGGTCCCAGCTGCGTCCTTTCGGCAAATGCTTCCCCTCCCCCAAAGTCTTCCCGTGGTCACCCGCACCACGTCCAGGCCCTGCCATCCCGTACTCTTCCGCGAGGGGCGCGTGCCCCTCGCACCCTGGATCGGGCCTGGGCGCAAAGTGCATCTCCTCAGTCCCGCCGGGAGGCGAACCGGGAAGGAACAGCTGAAAGGAGGAAGGTGCTGGGGCGAGAACCCCCTAAAGACCGTAGATCAGCCCCAGGGCAGGGGCAGCATGTAGGCCCTGGGCGCGCATTAGGAAGGGGCGGGGGCGGCGTACCCGGCTGTCCCTCCAGGCGCTCCGTACTCGTTCGAACCCCCGTGCAACCGCAGAAAACCGCCACACCCCTCCGCGCACCACTTCCTTCCGGGCCCGTCGCTTCAATGACGCCATCACTTCACGCGAGAGGGCCACGCCCCCTTTGCTTCGCTCCCTACTCCCCCCCCCGCCCACCGGGCTCCTGGTGGTCAGTGTCCACGTAGGGCCACCAGGGGGCGCCCGCGACCCGGCCCGGGCCGGTCGAGGGCTTCTGCCAAAGAGTTGAGCGGTAGGACCGGACGGGTGGAGGAGGGCTGAGAGTGAGCCCGCCGGCCGACGCGCGAGGCCGTGGGTGTTGGGTCCGCACGCGTGGGTGTTGCTTCCTGAGATCTTGACTTTGGAGATGTCTCCGGGTTCCCTTCCACCTGAGGACTTGCCGCAAAGGGCCCTCCCTCCCTCCGCCCGCCCCCCAGGAACAGATACAGGAGTTTTGCTGGGTCGCCCTCGCAGCTAAAAGAAACGCTGTTTAATGTATGCGTTAGTAGCACCTTTACGTTGCTGATCAGCCGTTTCTGTTCCGAGTTAACCCCTTTATGTTTTACTAGGAGCTTTGGGTTCTTTGATCCTCAAAAGCCCACCTGGTGGCGCAGCGGATTAAGCGTTGGCCAGCTAACCCCAAGGTCTGTTGGTTCCCATCCAGCAGCCGTTCTGCGGAAGAAAGATGAGGCGGTCGTCGTCCGCTTGCCTAAATCAACCTTAAGGGCAGTTCTACTCTGTCATGTGGTTACTTTGAGTCGGAATTGACCCCAGGAGCATGGCAGGCATATTCCCTTTTCTTCAGCATTTCCTGTTCCTGGGTGCTCAGTCCGTACGTTCTGAGTGAAGATAGTGTGGAGCAGGACCAGAGTCTAGACTTCAGGTATTGAGTCTAAAGGCCTGACAAGACCCCCACCCTTCCCTGTTCAATAGGCATCACATAGGAGCACTTGGAACACAGCTAGCAGGAAAGTTCGTTTCGGAAGAGAAGGCTGGGTCCCGTAATGATCGCCTCAGTGAATGAAGAGTTTTTCTGGGGAGGAGGCAAACTGGTGGAGGTAGGCAGATTTAAAGACCAGTTGCTATCAAGCCGATTCCATTCATGGCAGCTCCAGGCACGCCTTGGAAGTGGATCACCAGGCCTTTCTTTCAAGGCACCTGAGTGGACTGGAATCCCCAACCTTTGACTATCTGCCAAGTGTGTTAACCATCCCCACCACCCAGCAACTCCTAGGCAGATTTAAGGCACAGTGGAAGGAACCTGTAAGGTCATGGCTGTTGGAATGGACCCTTTTTCTCCCTGAGTTTGCTCTGGGAGAACTTGTGTTGGGATAGTGGAGCATTATATGAGTAAGTAATCCTATAAGTGAACCAGATGGTGTTGTCTGGGAACCCTGTACCCACCTCCTTCCCCGAGCACTGCCTTTTCTACTCTCCTTTTTGCACCCTTCTTGTCCCTGATAAACATACAGTTCACATTCTATTACCTAGCCATCCAATGCAAACCCTATTCGAATTTGAGAGCTTTTTCTATTAACTAGCTCATTGGTATGCGTAAGAGCCCTGGTGGCATAGTGGTTACATGTTGGGCTGCAAACTGCAAGGTCAGCAGTTCAAAACCACTAGCTGCCCTCAGGTGAAAGACAGAACTTTTTACTCCCTTAAAGAGTTAAATCAAAACCAAAGTTAATGTCATCAAGCCAATGGTGATTCATAGTGACCTTATTGGACAGGGTAGAATTGCCCCTGTGGGTTTCCAAGGCTGTAACTCTTTGTCTTGGGAGTGCTTACAGATATTATAACAATTCATAATGCAATTAGATAAAGCTTAATTGTACAATTGCTGCCTCCATCAGCTCCAACACATTTTCTTTCTTCTTGAACTCTTTGATATCAACTTCCCTTTGTCCTCTCCCTCTCTGACCCTACCCTCCAGGAAGCCTTATTGTTATTT